TCCTCAACACAATATTAGCAAACCAAATTCAACAATACATTAAAAGGTATTACTCAGCCACAAAAGAAGAATTAAATCTTGCGATTTGTGACAACATGGATGGACCTAGAGGGTATTATGCTAAATGAAATAAGTCAGACAAAGAAAGAGAAATGAATATGATTTTACTTACATGTGGAATCTAAAAAAAAAAAAACAAACAAAACAAAACAAATAAAAAAACAAAAAAACAGACTCTTAAATACAGAGAACAAACTAGTGGTTGCCAGAGGGGAGGTGGCTGGGGGGATGGGAGGAATAGGTGAATGGGATTAAGAGGTACAAACTTCCTGTTATAAAATAAATAAGTCATGGAGATGAAAAGCACAGCATAGGGAATTATAGTCAATACTACTGTAATAACATATGGTGACATCACTTATCGTGGTGAGCAGTGAGTATTGTATAGATTTGTCAAATCACTATGTTGTACACATGAAACTAATATAGCACTATATGTCAACTAAACTTCAGTAATAAATTAAAAAAAATAAAAGGATTACACATCAACAATCAAGTGGGATTTATTCCAAGGATGCAAGGATGGTTCAATATCTGTGAATCAATCAACATATTACACCAAATTAACAAAATTAAAAATAAAAATCATACCATCATCTCAATAGATGAAGAAAAAGCATTGGACAAAATTTAACATCCATTTATGATGAAAACTCTCAACAAAGTGAGTATGAAGGGAACATACCTTAACATAATAAAGACCATATATAACAAACCCACAGCTAACATCATAGTCAATGGTGAAAAGCTGAAAGCTTTCCCTCTAAGATCAGGAACAAAACAAGGATGCCCCCACTTTTGCCACTTTTATTCAACATAGCACTGGAAGTCCTGGCCACAGCAATGAGACAAGAAAAAGAAATAAAAGTCATCCAAATTAGTAAGGAAGATAAAACTGTCACTATTTAAAGATGATATGATACCATATATAGAAAACCCTAAAGACTGCACCAAAAACTAATTACCAGAACTATTACCAGAACTAATAAATGAATTCAGTAAAGTTACAGGATACAAAACCAATATACAACAATCTGTTGCATTTCTATACATTAATAATGAACTAGCAGAAAGAAAAATTAAGAAAATCTCATTTACAACTGCATCAAAAAGAATCAAATACATAGGAATTTAACCAAGGAGGTGAAAGACCTGTACTCTGAAAACTATTAGACACTGATGAAAGAAATTGAAGATGACACAAATAAATGGAAAGATATACCATGCTCATGGATTGGAAGAATTAATATTGTTAAAATGTCCATACTACCCAAAGCAATCTACAGTTTCAATGCAATTCCTACAAAAATACCAAGAGCATTTTTCACAGAACTAGAACAAATAATCCCACAAATGATCCTAAATGGAACCACAAAGACCCTGAAGAGCCAAAGCAATCTTGAGGAAGAAGAACAAAGCTGGAGATATCACACTCCCTGACTTCAAACTATCCTATGAAACTAAAGTAATCAAAACAGTGTGGTACTGGCATAAAAATAGACACATAGATGAATGGAAATGAATACAAAGCCCAGAAATAAACTCACATGTATATGATCAATTAACCTACAACAAAGGAGGCAAGAAAATGCAATGGTGAAAAAACAATCTCTTCAACAAATGGTGTTGGAAAAACTAGACAGTTATATGCAAAAGAATGAAACTGGACCACTTCCTTACACCATACACAAAAACAAACTTAAAATGGATTAAAGCCTAAATGTAAGACCTGGAACCATAAAACTCCTAAAAGAAAACATGGGTAGTAAACTCTTAGACTTTGGTCATAACAATATTTTTTTGGATCTGTCCCCTCAGGCAAAGGGCAACAAGCAAAAACAAACAAGTGAGACTACATCAAACTAAAAAGCTTTTGTACAATGAAGGAACTATCAACAAAACTAAAAGGTACCCTACTGGATGGAGGAAGATATTTGCAAATGATATACTCAATAAGGGTTAATATCCAAAATATGCAAAGAACTCATACAACTCAACAGCAAAAACCCCCACAATCTGATTAAAAAATGAGCAGAGAATCTGAATAAACATTTTTCCGAAGAAGACATGCAGATGGTCAACAGATACATGCAAAGATGCTCAACATCACTAATCATCAGGGAAATGCAAATCAAAACCACAATGAGATATCACCTCACACCCATCAGAATGGCTCGTATTAAAAAGACAAGAACAAGTGTTGGCAAGGATGTGAAGAAAAAGGAACCCTCATGCACTGTTGATGGGAATGTAAATTGGTGCAGCCACTGTGGAAAACAGTATGGAAGTTCCTTAAAAAATTAAAAACTGCCATATGATCCAGCAATTCCACTTCTAGGTATTTATCTGAAGAAAATGAAAAGACTAATTCAAAAAATATATGCACCCCTATGTTTACTGCAGCATTATTTGCATTTACATTTATTATAGTATACGTAATATAGTCAATAATATTACAATTACTTTGTATGGTGATGGATGGTAACTAGACTTATCATGGCGATCATTTCATAATGTGTATAAATGTCAAATCACTATGTTTTATACCTGAAAACTAATGTAATATTGTATGTCAACTATACTTCAATGAAAAAAAAAATATTTATGTAAAATAAAGTAACTCAAGGTCATTGTTCCTGATCATGCGCACAGCCCGCCCTCTAGTGTTTCTTTCTAAACCCTACCAAATTTTAAACCATACTCATTAATCTCAAAATGTTAGGTAATAGGATTAAGAACTGTGTCATCAAATTTATAGAACAAGGCTAAGTCCCTGACACAGATGAAAATTAAATCACAGAAAAGTGAAGATCCTTTCAGAAGCTGGTGGTAACCTCACTGAGGAGATACTGCAAAGTTAGTGGTAAATATATTAAAAAGTTTCATTTTGTAAATAGGGTCTTAACAGAAAGAGAAGAGTTAGTTCAAATGGTAGAGGTAGATCTATGTAAAATGTGATAACTTTGTAACTACTAGTACCGATGTTATTTAATTATATTAAAAAGACAATCCAAATGTTGATTAAATAGTGAAATTTTTGTTCCAAAATAACAAATATACATAAAGCAGATAAATATTCCTTTGGGAGGAGTTAAGACAATCTAACTTATTTTATATATTTAACTTTATTAAAGCATACATTTGTGGGGGTCTTGTGGGGCTTTAGGAGATTTGGGGGTTTTGGGGGGTTTTTTAAAGCATACATTTGTATTTGGAATGTTTATAACAAAGTATATCAAATTACATTTTAAAAGGAAATTCATTATCTGAGAAGAAAAAAATTTAATTGTGCACTATTCATATATCTTGATGGTTTTACAAGACATATGGGAAAAATCTGTGAGGCTGTTTTTGCTTTCATAAAAAAAATAAGTAATGAACTACCCAGGTAAAAACTTGCTTGAACACTCAGAATTTTGGAGAAAAAAAAAATCCCTCTGATATATTTTAACTAATTCTGTGCTTCAGGATGTTTACTGTTGACAAGAACATAAAATGAAGTATGGATTCTATGGGGCTGTGATCCATACTATTCATTGTCTTAAAGTTCAAATACTTCAGATGATGACCTTATTCAACTGTCATAAAGAATGTAAACAAAATAGGGACTTGGGTTGTCTTTTTTAAAATTTATATTCCAAGTCTCCTTATATCTCAGGCATATTAGCATAACTTGTCTAAAGTCATAAAGAAAAAATGACAGAAAAATGCTTTGGATCACCATATGTTTTCAATTGATGCTGGCGAAAACTAACCTAATGGAAAGCATTTGGTACAGGTTTATTTTTCCTTTGCAGTAACAGCAGGAACATGAAGCCATCACTCTTGGTGTTTATTGTGTATCTGCTATGGTTGAAAGACTGTCACTGTGCACCTACTTGGAAGGACAACACCGATATCCATGGAAACCTGAAGGGTACGTTTGGTTTCTTTATCTGCACTGTGTCCTGTTTGCATGTTTGCATGTCCTGCCGGCATTTACAGTGATTTACAGTTGAGAGATAACCATATTCATCACAGCCTTCTAGTTTCACGGTGAGATGTTCTCTAGGCACTTAAACCAAGTAGACAGGACACCAAACATCTGGAATAAAAATAGAAAATTCCAGTCAAGTATCTGAGAATGTTCACATATCCAGATGTTTGCTATCACACAGATAAAACTTGCCAACTTTTGGATTGCATTTCTTGGTATCGTCCAGATGTTTGGTGTCCTCTAAGCACAGTTTTAATGAACAGTGAAATTCTTTTCTAGCATTTGAAAACTTTAAACAATTAAAGTAATCTGTGCAGTTATTCTTGAGATAGTGAAAGAACGGGTTATGACGTTGAATCTGGTTGGCTCATTGACTTGTGACCTTTGCTTGAGAGTATATGCTTTGGGTACGGAACACTTAGAAAAATAAATTAGTTAAAATATTGCTTTGGGGTGTCTAATATTAAATTTGGAAGCAAGAATAAGCTCCTTTGGAAGCCACATTGACTACAGCAAAGAGAGAATGACAATGAATTTCATACCCACTACAGGCTTTTTAAAGGTGTGTAAGAGATGTCCAGTAGGTTATTAAGGAATCTTGCATCATATGAGATACTTTCTGGGTTTGATGCCTCCTGGGGAGGCATTTAAAGCTGAAAGAAAGGGAAATTGTTCACTGTGTTTGAGGTTCCCAGTTGGGCATTTAATACAAATTGTCTGTGAAGAAAATTTCAATTTTTTTCTAATATAAGCACACTTGAGTTTTAAGTAAAAGAAAAAAAAAATGGATCCATGGAAACAGGCCCTGAGGAAAATGACAGGAATGAGGTTCAGTGAACTCTGACTTGTCTAGGAGCTCAGAGGCGAGGGCTAGAAGGCCTCATCTATGTGGCCACTGTGTCCATGTGGCAGCTGCCAGCCGATTCATTGTCATTTGCTTGCAGTTTGATGTGGTAAAAGAATAGCTAAGTCTCTATTGAGGCAACAGGAAAAATCGGTGAACTCATTGTAATTCTGATACATTGTAATCTGATCAGACCTCAAAGGAAAAAACTACAATGTATCTTTTAGGTTTTTCTGAGGTTGGAGACATAGATGTAGACGAAGAGGTGAAGAAAGCTTTGATTGGTATGAAGCAGATGAAAATCATGATGGAAAGAAGAGAGGAGGAACATACCAATCTGATGAAAACCCTGAAGAAATGCAGAGAAGAAAAGCAGGTACAGTAATTGAGAATAACACCTGTTCTTAAATATAGCTAGACCATAAATATCGCATTTCTTAGTGCAATTGATAAATTACTTCTTTCCCCTAAAAATGGATTTTCTGGATGGCAGCTCTTAGTGGAGGAAAAGTTTGAAGGAAATTTCAAATTTCTTCCAAGAACACAGTCCTAGCACAGTAGACCTTTGCAGGACTCCAAATCCAGGAATTTGGGGGATTCGTCTCTGTTAGGGAAGTGCTACTTTCTTAAAAAGACTTTATCCTTAGTCCCTTCTAACTTGGGATATTGACTCAAAAGTGTTCCGGAAGTTTCTGGCTAGATATGTGGTTTCCAAAGGTTTTTGATCTTCTATCCCTACTACTAAAATTATTATTAGCATTCACTCCTAAATTTATGCACATTAATTTATTTATGTTAGACACATGAATTGCAACCATTAATATCTCAAGGGTGAGGTTCATCACTAGCCAGGGTGGATATTAAGTCCATATTTCAAATAACCTTCTGGATAGTATTTTGAAATGTTTTAGCCGATTGCCAGATCTGATTAGATCATAGTTTTACTTTGTCACGTGACCAAGAGCTTATAATGAAGAAGTGTCAGCTCTGCCATTTGCTTCTTGTCTACCTGAGCTTAAATTATTCGTATTTTTTAATCTGCTGGGTATTTTTTTTTTTTCAGGAATCTTTTTAAGCCTCTTGTCCATTTAGTGAGGGCTAGTCTATTGAGAACTAGATAATAATAGGATCATTTACCTGCGTCCTCTTAAATTGGCAATTCATTGCAATCAGCCCCAAGGGAATAAAGAACGAGGGACACAGGGTCCATGGACTGTGGAGGGCCCCACGTCCTCAGGGTCCTCCTGAGCAGCTGGTGACATGCAATGGTCTGACATAAGCACCACGAGACAGCCCCAGTGTATATTAAATAGTACATCAGCCTAGTTAATTTCTTTATTCAAATGCCTTTACTCAATAGCTGCAGTTCAAACTATGTACGTTAGCAATGGGAAAGACACATTACAGTTGACTCTTGAACAATGCAGGGGAAAGGGGTACTGACCTCCAGTCAAAAACTTGCATATAACTTTTATCTCCCCAAAAACTGAATTACTAATAGCCTACTGTTGACAGAAGCCTTACCAATAACAGTCAAATAACACATATTTTGTGTGTTATGTGCCTTATATACTGTATTCCTACAATAAAGAAGAAAATATTAAGGATATCATAAAGAAGAGAAAATACATTTACAGTACTGTCCTGTATCTATCCACATCTAAGTGGACCCATGCTTTCAAACCCATGTTTTTAAGGGTCAATTTTATATCCAAATGTCTCTAGAGGATGTTAAAAATTGTTCATATGTTACAGTACTGAGCATATGAACTTAGTACAGTACAAGGCTTAATATGTTTCTAAATTATGCAGTATTGCATGGCTCCTCATTTAATACCATTAACAATGAACATAACATTCAAAACAATTCAATTATTTTCCAAAAATTATTTTCCAATGTTACCCTTAAATCAAAGACGAAATCAAGACTGTAACAAAAATAATTTGGAAAATATTTTAAATTTTAACAGGAGAGTCAATTACTTTTAAATTTTATTTTTAAAAGTTTGTGAATGTGGTAAAATACACATAACATCCAATTTACCATCGTAACCATTTTTATGTGTGATAGTTCAACAGTGCTAAGTACCTGCACACTGCTGTGCAACCAAGCTCCATAATTCCTCCCCTCTGGCAAAACTGAAACTCTATACCCATTGAACAACTCCCCATTTCTCCTCCCCCTACCATCAATTTTTAAGTTAAAACATAAAAATAGAAGTTTTACTATTTCCCCCTACACCTATACCTATAGACATGTGAATTGGGGGGCCCCAAACTGCAGGGAGCTGCCGGAATTCTTTATTTCTGAGCACGGTGGCCTCTGGCCATCCCTTAAGCCTCTGGAGCAGGGCTGTGTGACAGGCTGACCCCCAGCTATCTGTGAGCCTGTCACCAGACTGGTTGATGTTGTGGCCACACCCTACACCCCTTGTCACACAGGGTCCCTCGCAAGGAAAGGCGATCGCCTGACTAGCAGCTGCAAGCCGTCCTCCCTTTAGGCAGCAAGCAAAAGATTTAAGGAAACCAAAAATAGCTCCTTATGAGGAAAGTGGGGAAGCCCCCGGAGCTGGGTTCTTCCCTGGTGGGCTTGTGAGCTGGCCCCTGGGAATAATGACACTTGATAGCATTTACAGGCCGTTTATAAAACACAGTATCACATGTAATCCTTCCAACATCTGCATCACCCATTACTTTCACTTTACAGCTAAGGAAACTGAGGCTCATGATGTTCATGAATGTGGTAACACAGCACTGTGATGAATGACTGGGGAGAAAGTCAGCAGGCAGGGCTTGTCTGTCTCTGGGACCCAGTGACTTTGTTTTTCTCCCTTTCCTCAGCCACCCCACAAGCCAAGGGTGTAAAACTATGAAAAGACTGCTCCAGTTAGGGGTGGGTCGAGTAAGCAAATGTAAGTTCAGTTAAGGTTTGGACACTCAAAAAGTCCATTTAAAAATGGAAAAACCTGTTTAACTCTGAGTCTCCCCCGCCCCAAAATTACTTTAAAGTGAAGATAAAGGATACTTCAGACAAATTATGACATAGCAACTATGAGATTGGTACCCCTAGTCTCCCAGCACAGAGCACCACTTATTCTCAGGGGACCCAGTGTCATCATGGATCCCTCCGCAGCCCCTCCCTATTAATATTTAGTGAAAGCATCTGAAACTAACTAAAAGTGGGAAACCTCGGGGGGGGGCATAAAGTGATTTGAACCTAACACTAAGTTTATATGGGACTTTGATACTCTGTAAACTACAGGAATAGTCAGTGGGTGGGACATCTAAGGAGGAAACAGAGGAATGGGCAGGGCATTCCTAAACAAGAGATCTTCCTCCATGACAACATTTCACTACCAAAACTTGGGACATGTGATTTGGTAACTGGTTTTTGTTGTGCTCTTGGAGGCGAGTGGAAGGAAACAGATAATAACACACTAGGTGGCTTGCTTGCTTATCTCACTTAATACAAAGCCTTAAGAGGTAAATCCTATTGCTATTCCTATTTGCTGAGGAAGATACTGAGACTCAGAGATGTTAAGTAATTTACCCAAAGGTACACAGCAAGTGTAGTTTGGAATTGGAAATAGTGGGGTTTTGGTTTATGGTGACAATGAAGAGAATATTTAAAACTGGGACTGACTTAGGAAATGTGGGCAGTATTGTTTCCTGCCATGGTGGGGTAACTTTCTTGAGAAGATGTAGGAATCCAAAATTGTTCTGCAATGCCCAAGGAGATAAGAAAATCGTCAAAGGATTCTCAGTGCCCACATGGTTCTTTGGGCTTAATATGCCAGGGAAGGGTGATTTCTTTTTCTCTTCCATTAGATAAAAATGCACACTAAATTGGTTTTAAGTACATAAACTTTGCTCCCTCATGTGGTTTTCACTTAAAGGAGTCACTCTTAACTCTGAGACTGGTTGATGGAGGAATCCATTATACTCCATCAGTCCCCTGAACTAGGTCTCAGGCTTGCAGGGAGCCAGTCTTTAGAAGTCCACACATGAATGGAGGTCAGGGGTCTAGGCAGGGGTGCTGGCCTTGAGGGAGGTCCTGGGACAGGGTTGAGGTTCTCAGGGACAGGTGTCACTTGGCCTGGGTTCCGTATCACCCAGAGTGGGACCTGGACACGTACAGCAAGGCACCACGAGGGGGAGCACTTGGAAAACGAGAAGAAAGAAGCATCCCCTCCCCTCCTCCCCAACCCCCCCTCCAACGCAGCAATTAGAGTGTAACTTGCTGGGCAGATTAGATTTGATATACAAGAATTGCACTTTCTTGCAATGTTTAAGCATATACAAAAATTAAAGGCAGCATAAATAAAGGAAATAAATTTGTAAGCTTTATAAGCTTTAAAGCCCACTTTCCACATCTTCCAAGAACTAGATGTGAAGACAGACAAGTAAACAAATTACAGTTGTCCCAGAGTGGGGACCATGTCATGGTTTACCCACATCTAGTGTAATGGTTGTCCCATAGCAAGTACCCAATAAATAGCTGTTGAATGAACGAATGAATAGATGGATAAGATTTGCAGTCTTCAGTAGGGATCAATCAGTGCTCCATTTCTTAATCAAACAGAAAGGTAGATTCAAGTAGATCTGTCAGCAGCCAGGGGCCCGAAGAAAGAACGAAGAAGTACATCAGAATATGTATGTTTTTTAAATCAGCTATGGTACACACAGAATTATGAGATGGAAATAGGATGTTTGTTTCTCCTTTTTAATTAGGAAGCCCTGAAACTCATGAATGAAGTTCAGGAACATCTGGTAGAAGAAGAAAGCCTATGTCAGGAGTCTCTGACAGATTCCTGGGATGAATGCAAGTCTTGCCTGGAGAGTAACTGCATGAGATTTTACACAACCTGCCAATCTAGTCAGTCCTCTATGAAAAATACGGTAAGGGAAAAATAGAGCTCAAGGTTTCAGAATTCTTAAAGAACCTACTCCAGTTTAATTTTTTTTCCAGTTTAATTTTTAAAAATTAATTTATTTTGCTATTTAGAATAGAGATGCCTGACCTGGTATTGGCCTTTTACAATCTAGAATCTAACATTCATGCTTGCTTATGTATGAACCACCTACGTACATTCAATTTATCAAACGGCCATTCAGTGTTTGTCTCTCCCTATAATGACACTGTATATATCTCTCTTAGAAATTGTCTGAATCTTTCTGCCTCTTATTATTTGTGAACATGTTCCCACTAGATTGTAAGCTCTTTGAGGGCAGGGACCATATGCTATCTACCTTCATGTAAGCATCGTAGGTATCTAATAAATGCTGAATTGAATTTGAATAATAGCATTATAGTCTCTGGTTTCAACCTGCTTTAATTTTTTTCCCTGGAGGCCAAACATTTGAAGACATTCTCGGCCTCCTGAATCTCTCCTTTGATAGGCCTGCTCTCTTCTGAAAACACACCCATAAGCACACATTCATGCCCTCTTTAGCCACGTCTACGCATGTCCTGCAGGACTGCCATGTTTTCTTTTTTGTTCCCTTTGGCTCTCATCTGGGCAGAGGGAATCACAGAGGGTGGTGACCTGAATAGGATGAGTTCTGCCCCATAAAGGGCTCCTATTGTATTGGCCTGAATTTCTCTTCCCTCCAAGAAGTGAGCTGACTATGAAAGAGTGAAATTTCCCTCTCCATATCAGAGCATGCACTAATTAGAGTATGTTCCTGGGGTGGCAGTGCCATACCCAATTATAGAGGGAGCAACCCCTAGGACAATTCATCTGCCAAGTTAATTTGCCTCCACTGTGAATTGCATCTGCTCTATTTTTATAGCCCCGGTCACTCTCTGATATACCCGACTACAGTGGAATGAGCACTGGCTGGAAGGCAGGAGATTTGGGGGCCATGCCTGTCTGTGCTGGTTGTGCGACTTTATGAATATTTCTTGGGGCTTTAAGGTTTGTTTTTTTTGGATGGATTCAGCGAAACAGAAGCTGGCAGGGAAAGGGGCAGACAATCGACCCAGATTACTTTTTGAGAAAGGCATGAGTGATCTAAGAATTCCTGGAGAATCCTTTGAACAGCACTGGGATGCTAGCGCTGTGATGTTTGAGAGTTGGTATGCTCCGTAACAGTCAGCATGGCCACATCACTACCATGTAAGGGCAACTGTGTTCTGACACTAACTTAGGTACCATATAGATGGAGAGCATGGTGTGACTGCTGGAAAAAACTCTCCCACTGAGTGTAAAATTCTGCAATTACAGCTTCATTTCTTTGACTACAGCCAAGGAGGGCTTTGATCACTACTAATATATAACCATCCCTAAGTAACCTATTTAACTCTATCAGGCATCTATAATATAGCATGAATGTGTTTATCTTTTCCTTTCCATGGACGAATTTATGAGACAAGCAAGAGGAGACCATCAAGTCACTAAGGACATTCCACTGAATGAAACAAACCACCCCCCCCAAAACCCTAAGACAGAGGTGAAAGGCAAGAGCCTTCTTCACGGTTTTGGGGTAACCTAGACTGTTCCGTTTAGACCATGGCATGCCAACCACTGCCGGTACATCAGGTGTGGCTTGTCAACAATACTGAAAACTTGGCCTTTTTAGGCCTTGGGTAGGCACATATAAACAAGGAAGAATTTCAGATCCTCTTCCCACAACCAAAGTCAAAGGTACAAAAGTGTTAATAAATGATCTTAAATCTTAAGTCTTAATTTTGCCCAAAATTGTTTTTTATTTAGAATGACCAGTATAAATGGACTTTAAAATTTACAATAAGAAATGGTCCATGTCAATTATCCTTCCATTTAAAAATAATAAAATAAAATTGATTTAAAAAAAAAAGAAATGGTCCAGAAAGAAAATTAATTTCTTATTCCATTTTTTCCTCCACCCCACAGGTCGAACAGTTTTTCAGGAAGATATATCAATACCTGTTTCCTTTCCATGAGGATAATGAAAAAGATCTCCCTGTGGGTGAAAAGTTCATTGAGGAGGATGCACAAGTGGCTCAAATAGAGAATGTGTTCAGCCAGCTGACTGTGGATGTGAGATTTCTCTTTAACAGAAGCCTTAACGTCTTCAAACAGATGCAGCAAGAATTTGACCAGACTTTTCAATCATATTTCATGTCCGATACAGACTTAATGCAGCCTAACTTTCTTCCAGCTTTATCCAAAGAGCCAAGGGAAAAAGCGGATCCTGTGCAAGGTTGGGACATTCCCAGCTTCTTCCAGCTCTTTTGTAATTTCAGTCTCTCTATTTATCACAGTATCAGCACAACCATCACCAAGACACTGAATGCAATAGAGGATTTACCAAAACAAGGCAAAGGCAAGTATTAAAAGATGAGCTTTACTTAGATGTCAATACTAAGGTCAAGCTTGGTTTACCTTTGGAAATAGCAGACATTTCTAAGTCATTGTACAATGTTTCTGAGGGTGACAATTTATGGAGAAATCAAAGTTTCAGAGCCTCTTAGAGAAAGCTTTAAAGTTGGCCAAACACCATCCCTCCTCCAACATTGTCAAGAGCCCTGTGGGGCTGCTATCTCTTTTTAAAGCAGATTTTCAAAGCTGAGAAAGAAAATGCTAGCAGCGTGAGAAGTTGAACAAAACAGTTGCCTCCTTTATTAAAACTCATGTAGATACGCACAACTCTGTTCTGCTTGAACATCATGGGGTTTCCTTAAAATCAGTCTAGACTCCTCAACTCCCAGTTTGGGAAGGAGCCTAGTGTCCTGTATTAACCAGGTCACATTGAGTGCCCTGCACAGCCTCCTCCGCATCACCGCCATGATCCCTTAAATCATAACATTTATGCACAAAACCACAGAAGATGTTCACAGACAAACCCAAAACTACAGAAATCAGAGTATCTGTAAAGGATAAGAATTGCCTTCTACCAATGCCAAACATGCCCCAAGATATTCCATGTTGGAAACATAATGCTACTGTGTGTCTTGAGGCAGGAGATACCTTCCTTGGGATTCTGTGGAGTGGCTGGGACACAGCATCTCAGAAATGAGAACTGCTGGGTGGGCCAAGGTAGGGTCTACATTTCCCTAGACTTAGATTTTATGGACCTCAAGCCTACAGGAAAGAATACTCCCCTCTGACATGAAAAATAATGTGGGCTCCTTCTAGAAATCCTGCCATTTGTAAAAACATGAATGAACCTGGAGGACATTATGCCAACTGAAACAAGCCACACACAGAAGGACAAATACTATATGATACCTCTTATATGAGGAATCTAGTCAAAGTTATGGAAGCAGAGAGTAGAATGAGGTTGCTGGGAGCTGAGTCAAGGGGGAAATGGGCAGATGTTGGTCAGAGAGTACAAAGTTTCTGTTATGCAAGATGGGTAAGTCCTAAACTTATAAGTCCAACTGTGCTGGATAGCGCCTATCATTAAAAACACTGTACTGTATACTTAAACATTTCCTAAGAGGGTAGATCTTATTATGTTAAGCATTCTAATGATGATAATAATAATAAATAAGAGGGCAAGAGAACATTTTTGGAAGTGATGGATAGGTTTATGGCATAGATTATGGTGATGGTTTCATGGGTTTATACTTCTCTCCAAACTCTCCAAGTTGTATATATTAATTACACACAGCTTTTTGTATGTAGAAAGAAATGGGCTCCTTCTAGCTATTTCCCCATTTACCAGCTGTACCTGGCAACATCTGAATTAAATTCTCAAAATTACCATTACATTGCATCACTTGTCTCTATATAGAAGGGACCTACCTTACAGTACCAGAAACTGAAGCCAAAAAACACCGCATGACATCCTTCCCGTCCCATTGTTCCATGAGCAGAGAACAGCCATCATTACTGGAATCATTGCTGGGTTCTATTTCAGGGTCTGGAAGACTTTCTTGTAAGTCAGGTGTTTTCTCTGGTATTCTATTCTAAGATTTCCAATATTCAGGAAAAGCATCAAGGCAGTAGACTAGATATATCAATGCTGGGGTGATATTAAATAATTTTTGCCTGAATTTTTAAATAGATATCAATTGTTTGGGGATAATATTCCAAATGTGCTCATTAGAATAAAATAATACCCCCTCCATCTTTCACATTGCATACAATCTTATATGTGGGTTGCTACATTCAAACGTGCACAAGAGTATATAGTGATCCATCCACTTTGAAATCGAAATAACTTCCTAATCACTGCAACTCCCACCCACCCCACCGACTAAGAATGTAGGTTTCCACCCGTTCTGCCTCAGCTTCCTCCCATCCTCGCAGCCCAGAACCAGCCCCTGCTCAGCTGGCCTTCTGCACAACCTCCACCTTGATGATAACCTGCATATCCAGAGCCCCCTGTAATGCAAAGGTAATGTAAATACAAATATGAAAAACAAAAACAAAAAAGCCTTTCCTCTGCTATCCCTCCGCTAACCAGACAGCACCCAGCTAGCCCCACAGAGGAGACATTCTCTTCTCCGAAGAGCACCTGTGAACTATTTATCAAGAATAGTCAGGCAGGGGCAGTAGGGTATTTGCAAGTAGTTTCCGTTACTCTTCTGGACAGGTGGTAGGTGAACAATAAACCTAATGCTCCTGGAAAATCTGCCTAATGAGAGGACATTTTGACCTTTGCCCCTGTGTAGACAGAATAATAGCTTCCCAAAGATATCTACACCCTAATCCTCAAGACCTGTGAATATGTTGTGTTTACACAGCAAGGGGAAAGTACGGTTGTAGATGGAATTGAGGTTGCTTGTCAGCTGACCTTAAAATGAGGAGATTATTCTGAGTTATACATGTGGCTACAAGGGTTCTTAGAAGTGGAAGAGGGAGGCAGAGTAAAATCTATAGAGATGGTAGCATGAGAAGGACTTGGCCCTACTTCGCTGGCTTTGCAAGTGGAGGAAGGGGCCCAGGAGCCAAAGACTATAGTTGGCCTCTAGAAATTGGAAAGGCAAGGAAATGGATTCTCCCCTAGAGCCTCCAGAAAAAAAAAACCACTGCCAACACCTTGATTTTAGGCCAGTGAGACCCATTTCAAACTTCTGAGCTACAGAACCAGAAGGCCATTGGTGTTATTTTGAGCCAATAAATTTACGGTAATCTGTTACAACGGCAACAGGGAACTAATACAAGGCTCTTGTCAGTTACAATGGCCAACACTGACTGAGTGAGCGCTGTGTATCTGACAACCTTCAGGGATGGGCTTTGTCATGACTGTTCTAAGAGCTAAAATTAGAAAAATAGCTAAAATTGAATAATGAGCACCATTAGAAGAAAAGAGGTGATAATAAAAAAATCTGAAACGTTGGGGCACCTGGGTGGCTTAGTCGGTTAATCATCCAACTCTTTTTTTTTTTTTTT